CACCCACCCGCCTCCCGGAGGGCAACCACAATGGTGATGCGGCCCTCAATGAAATTGAGTTTGACACCCCTGCCCTAAAATCTGTTAATTTTTACATTAATATTATGGTTTCTTCCAAAAAGTCTTTTAAAACTATTACTTCCGGGCTTCAATCTGCTGCGCTCCAGGATACATATTCTATGCTTCTACAGGGAGTCCTTGACTTACACTAGTTCATTTAGCGACCGTTCAAAGTTACAACGGCAATGAAAAAAAGTTGATTTATGTCCATTTTTCAGTTACGACCTTTGCAGCATCCCCATGGTCATGTGATCAAAACTCAGATGCTTGGCAACCGGCTCATACTTATGACCGTTGCTGTGTCCCAGGGTCACGTGATCCCCTTTTGCAGCCTTCCTTCTGACAAGCAAAGTCAATGGGGGAAGCCAGATTCATTCAATAACCACGTGACTAACTTATCAACTGCAGTGATTCACTCAGCAACTGTGGCAAAAAAGGTCGTAAAATGGGGCAAAACTCACTTAACAAATGTCTCACTTAACAACAGAAATTTTGGGCTCAATTGTAGTCGTAAGTCGAGGACTACCTGTATATATGAGAATATAAATTCCTAGAATCACAGAGCTACAAGGGACCTATCACAGAATAGCAACACTTGTAGTCTTCTAGTCCAACCCTCCCTGCCCAAAGCAGGAGTCCTTATATCAGTGGTTCTCAACCTTTTTAATGCCGTGACCCCAACCGGTCGTAAGTCGAGGACTAAACCGGTCATAAGTCGAGGACTAAACCGGTCGTAAGTCGAGGACTAAACCGGTCGTAAGTCAAGGACTACCCAACCGGTCGTAAGTCGAGGACTTTCCCTGCCCGGGAGCGCCGTGCATGCGTGGTTCCGCCCCCTGCGCCGGCCGAGGTGTAGCTGGAAAGCGGCAGAGACAGAGCAGGCCGACCACCAGCTGGCCCAGCCCAAGGGAGGTAAGGCACCCACCGGAAAAGGGGGAAAAAAATGGCGGACAAAAAAAATGGCGGACAGCCTTGCTTGGCGACCCCCATGAAATGGTCGATCGACCCCAAATGGGGTCCCGGCCCACAGGTTGAGAACCACTGCCTTATATGATTCCAGATAATTTCACATTAGATTTTAGATTTTCACACTCACATTTGACTTTCATATTCACTTCTTAAAATTAATTTTTATAAAAAAAATTATAAAATTTTTAACTTGGCAAGAAAATTTCGAAGGAGGCAATTTCAAACGGACAAACTCCAGGAGGCAAGATGTTCCAATTGGCAAGGAAACGTTTTCTCACACTAGACATGTGTTGAGGTTTTTCTCCTGTGTGGATTTTTCATGTGTATCTGAAGATCTGATTGTCAGATAAAAACCTTTCCCACATCCTAAGCCCTGATAAAGTTTCTCTCCAGTAAGAATTCACTGATGCTGAAAAAGAGTATTTTTTCAGGCAACCCATACATCACACTGCAAACATTTATGTTGCATCTTTCCTGTATGGATCAGAGTGATTTTTAAGGGATTGACAAAAAAATGCTCTCTCATTCTAAGAGTTTCAAATCTCCCCCCCCCACCCCTCTTTAGGAACTCTTTCATGACTTCTAAGGGTTGAATAACTATGAAAAACTGTTTCACCATCAGGGCTTGTTAGGCCTTTTCCCATGTGAGTTTTCTGATATCTCCCTTTTAAACAAAACATTTCTACACTTTAGGAGTCTTTATGGTTTCATTCTTTTATGGACCTTTTGATGACGTCCAAGGTGTTGTTTTTGGGAAAAGCATTTCCCACACTCCACACATTTGTACGGTTTCTCCCCTGTGTGGATTCTCTCATGAATCTGAAGCAGTGTTGCTGTGAGAAAACCTTTCCCACACTCCCCACATTTATAGGGCTTCTCTCCTGTGTGCCCCCTCTGGTGTCTCCGGAGTCTAGCAGAATCCACAAATCGCTTGTCGCATTCTGGGCATTGATAGGGCCTGTCTCCAGTGTGAAGTTTCTCATGTAGAATTAGGTGTGACCTTTGGGAGAAACATCTCCCACATTCTGAGCACATTTCATTTTTCTTTTTTTCTACACGCTCGTAAGGCTTCTTTCCTATGTGAATCTTCTTGTGTCTTTTAAGATATTCATCGCACAAAAAAGACTTCCCACACTCCGGACATTTATATGGTTTCTCTCCA